CATCCATCCATCCATCCATCCATCCATCCATCCATCCATCCATCCATCCATCCATCCATCCATTCCCCATTCATACACTGTATAATAATGATCCAATTCCTAGACAGCATATGGGACAAAAAGTTTTTAAAGCATGGTAGATTAAATAAACTACAACGCCTTTTAACATAACCCCTAGACTTGAACTTCCAATTCAACCCTCTTAATCTTTGATTTCGGAATCACTTGGATTTGCTAAGTGATATGTTCAATAAAAAAAAGCTAATAATGTTATTATTTAGAATACAAGCTAAATAATCACAGTATGTTTCCCTGCATTTTCAAACACTGTCACAACTACATGAGGATTAAAAAAGCAACATTAACAGGAACCAACAAACAAACAAAAAAAAAACATTTGTATGTAAGGCAGATTAACTGGATTTTAAGTTCTGCATTAGTAAGAATGTCTCATTTTTCAATTTAGAGTCCTACCCTGTAACTTTTTCTATAATTAGCGAGGTGCATGGTCAAAATGAATATTACAGAGATAGTTAATCGTTATGCTAAAGTGTAAGAATATATATTCTTAACTTTGTTATTTTTTATTACCTAAAAATCATTAGAAAGACCAAGTCCCAATGTTTTACTGGTTTAAATCATGATTTTAACTGTAAAATCTGCTCTTTAACAAGATAATAAGTACAGAATGCAAGCGTTATAAAATAGATATATTTCCTAAGAGAATCTGAGCCCCAGTTTTACTGAAAAGCTGAAGAAATATAGGCCTTCTCACTTCCTGCAGTTTCACCTGAAGCCACAAGATGGAGCTGCTGCGCCCCGACTGTCATCCTCTTAAAAAAAAAAACAGGAAAAGTTACAGTAAAATGTGACGCCACACTGACTACGTCATAAAGAAAATATTTTAAACGGGACAAAACTGAGACTGGAATTTTGTTTACCTGTAGTTTATTAAAAAATATTTATATATAATACATTTCCATTTTTTTTAAATTCTTATAAACGAATTTAGATTTTGGCTTATTTCTTGCAGCTTTCAAGTAATTTAAGAAATTATTACTAGCTATAATAAAAAATGTAAAATTACTTTATAATCTTTCTTTAATAGTAACAGAAAGTCATTAAAAACGGGCCACTGCCCGTTTATAAGCGCAGTTTACCTGACAGCACCTTGTTGCTCACTGATAACAGCCCATTTTCCCCTCAGATGGTCCTATTAACACCTATTTGATGTCATGATAATCTCATCACGGGCCATTTTAATGTTCCAACGAAACCCGTTCTTTTTTTTTTTATACCCCCCCTCGCTAGGAGCACGTCAGAAAGCAGAAGCGCATAAAAGCCACAAGTGCATCATCAGCTGATCAGAGCAGCGGCTGTGAGCTGAGTCAAAACAAGAGGAAACAGCAGCACAAAGGCAGAGAAAGGAGGAACACACAGGAGGGGGGCTTATTATTGACTGTAACACTGAGGAGGAACCATCATATCTCAAGCTGGCTCCCATTACTGCGCAGAACCAGGACTATACCTGATCTCTGATCAGTGAGATCATAGGGACTGGCCCTAAAGGCAGAAGGTGAGTCTTCCTCTAACAGCTGTCTCTAATCTACTGTATTGAACTTTTTCCTAATGATTCACACAAGAGTAGCTGATAGAGAACTGAATCCATTCAGCCATACATCCATTAACCTGTTTTGTCATTGCACATATAGGCTACTTGGTTGATTTCTGCATGTGTTGCTAAGAATCATAAAAATTCATGTTTGGTGATTTATTTTATTTTTAAGCCCAAGAAATCCAGTCAAAGTCTGGGAGAAATACCTCAGAGTGTTCTGAGCTGCAAAGGTGAGACAAAAATATAAATCTGTGTTTTATTTATGCTTTATTTTGATGTACTACTGAATGATTGATTTGAGAGAGGTGATTTTTTTGGATACACAATGTAACTTTGGAGTGCAGAAGACTTACTTATCAGCAGCTTGTGGACCTTGCTCTTGATCTGTAAGAGCCTCACCTTTCGGTGTCTTTGGCACATGAACGGGCACTTAATGCACCGTCCTTCTTCACAGAGACTCCTCCATGAGGCCACGTGCTGCTGCTCTGCTGCTTCTACCAGGTATCTGAGCCATTTAAGGCTTTTACTTTCTCTCAGACAGCTTCTGTTTGATGTTCACTCTCACTTCCTGGTGTCTATCAGTGTCAACGTTCAAATCTGGTCTGATCATCCTCTGTGGTCCAATTGGTTCCCTGCTTTGTATATTTTGTTTAGCTTTAAACTCATTTTCAAACCTTCATCTGTCTTTTAGTGAAACTGTTGAAATTGTCTTATTTTTTAAACCTTTTAATGCATTTCTGAATATGTTTTAACATGATCAAATCAGACACATATCGATTTTATGATGTAGCATTAACATAAGGTACATCAGTAGGACCAAATAGTAAAAAACACTGAATGTGGAATACAATAGTATGCTATTCTCTAAAATCCTGGTTGCCATGTCTGTTAGGAACTGTTTTCTACCAGCTTTGTGCATCTAGCCCTTTAAAGCCAAGTCTACCACATTTGATACATGAGTTTTTAAGACATCTGCATCATCACTGTGACATTTTTCTTCTTGAAAATCCTGATTTACACAATCAGACACATGTAGTGAATGGAAAATGTATAAAAGATAGTACAGAAATGTCTAATGCATCAATATTGATACAGATAAATGATCTAACTCATACAAAATTTTTGTTTTTTAAATTTCATTTGGCAAAAGTTCAATGACAACTCTAATAAAAAAAACATTTTCTTGTCAATTATTTCAAGGTCCAGGCTTTATAGGGCTAGAGAGATTCTTTCCTCATTTGTTTCTTTGCAATACTTTAATCTTCAGTAGATAATGGATGAAAAGGATCTGGCAAGAATAGATTTTAAAGTATGGTGTCAGATTGAGTTAGATTTTAGTTCTGGATTTTAATTGGACTGTTTTATCAGATTAATAATTGCTTTGGCGTTAGCGTGATTTTCCTCCTGGAAGGTGAACGTCTTCTTTAATCTCAGGTGTTCTGCAGCTCCTAACAATTTTCCTCCAGGGTTGGAGGAGTTTCTAGATCTATCTATTGACTCAGGAACCGCTTTCCTCTCCCATTCACCAGGTTTCACAGTGGGGATGGTGTATTCTGGCTACTTTGATGTGTTAGTTTTTCTATGAAAGGGTTTTGCATTTACGTAACAAAATTCTGTTTTGGTCTCATCTGACCATAGAAATTAGAAATTTGGAGTTGAAAAACAAAATGTACTGAATACATTAGTAATAGCTGTCGTGACAACAGGTTCTTTCACCTGAGCTGTAGATCTCTGCAGCTCCTCCAGAGTTTCTATAATCCTCTTTGCTGCTTCTCTGATTGAGGCTCAGCTAG